TCACGATTTTCATTTTTTGGGTCAACTAATGTGGAATAGCACCCATTTTTCAAAACAAAATCGAAAATGAACGAGTCCCTCATTCAACAACTTTCCTGCATTGAACACATAGGGGTAAACAACATAAACAAATGACGTCATTGAACTGACAAAAAAGACCCCAATCGCTCACGATTTTCCCATCAGCTGATCGGAAAATTTGTTACACTAATTATCAGTGGATCTGTACCTGGCAAACAATCACAAATACCCCACTGCCCGCTTGATGAACAGCCATCAGCGGGGCCATTTCTCACAAATAAAAGCATGAGGGGCAAAATGTATACATGTGTTCACGCCCCATAGGCCCCTTCGCTATTCTTACGACCCAACTAATACGAGAATTATTGAACAATGGCACAAGATCGACGACCTTCGAGAGACATCAATGTCATAAGTGATTGTCGAGCGTGAGAAAAAACAGGTTTCACAACTTGTTCAAACTTTCGATGGGCGGAAAATCATAAAAAACTATGTGCCCTTCTCTTGACAATTATACGTAAAATGTGAGCGAAACATAACTTCAATCAATCGATAATAAATTGAGCTGATATAATTAGCTTACATAATTCTCGGCCATCCACTTTACCATGGCAAAGCTTTTCTTTTGCGGTGGGTAAGTGTCGTCGACGCCTTTCAAGCGGATAAGTGGTAGATCCGGGTGGATAGTTTCGGTGTTTTCTGCCACGAAGAACAACACCTGAAACTTGGTCGCCTTGGTTGCGGCTTCTTTGAACCGGATGTGTGTGAAAGCAGAAAAACCGCCGAAAGCACCGAGTACGATGCAACACACATTCAATTAGCAAAATGAGCGTAAAAGGTGCGCACTTTGCCGGGGACGTGTTTCGCCCATGTTTTCCAAACGTTGTAGGCTCGTGTGTCGACGTACTTTGCCGCTGTCATGATACCCATCAGTATGAGACCAGTTCGCTGTCGTGGTCCAACCAGCTGCGCACATTCCGACGATGATAATGATTGCCTTTGCAATCGTGCAACAGAAGATACACAATAACTAAAATATACCATACATTTCACTTAAAGGCACCGTCCACCAAAACTGAGAAAATTGAGGG